GCGACAATTCCGGAAATGGCGACCCAGTGCAAACCTATCCAGAAACACCAACAACCTCTGTTCTTCAACCAGAAGCTGAACTAGATCAACCAGTCAATCCCAATCAACACAATCTTCGTTGGTTAAGGGATCATCCTCCTCAACAGATCATTGGAGATATTCAATCTGGTGTTCGCACAAGGAGTGCCCAACAGAATCTAGAAGCTATGCTTGCTTGTTTCATCTCACAAGTGGAACCAAAGAATATTGAAGAAGCTCTAGCTGATTCTGATTGGATCAATGCAATGCAATGCAAGAAGAACTCAACCAATTTTCCAGAAATGACGTCTGGAAACTTGTTCCCGGACCTACTCATCAACATGTCATTGGGACAAAGTGGGTCTTCCGGAAAAAGATGGATGAAAACGGCGTTGTTGTCAGAAACAAAGCCCGGTTAGTTGCAAAAGGTTACTGTCAAGAAGAAGGTATAGATTTTGATGAAACCTTCGCTCCAGTTGCTAGACTTGAAGCTGTAAGGCTGTTTCTAGCCTATGCTGCTCACAAGGACTTCAAGGTCTATCAAATGGACGTCAAAAGCGCATTCCTCAATGGAAACCTCGAGGAAGAAGTTTATGTGGAACAACCTCCAGGATTTGAGTTACACACTAAAGGAGATCAGGTGTATAGACTCAAAAAGGCGCTGTATGGACTCAAACAAGCACCAAGAGCTTCGTATGATACATTGTCTCAATTTCTTATAGACAATGGATTTACCAAAGGAGTCATTGACAAGACATTGTTCAAACTACAAGATGGTGAAGATCTCTTATTGGTCCAAATCTATGTGGACGACATGATATTTGGCTCAACTAAGAAAGATCTATGCACTAAGTTCTCAACCCTCATGCAAGGAAAATTTGAGATGAGCATGATGGGAGAACTCAACTACTTCCTTGGCCTTCAAATCAAACAGAGAAGCGAAGGAACTCTCATCAACCAAGCGAAGTATACAAGGGATATTATCAAGAAGTTCAAAGTTAATTAGAAGTCATCCGTTTCTGTCCCCATGAGCACATCCACCAAGCTTGACATGGATGTAGATGGAAAGGATGTAGATCAAACTCTCTATAGAGGAATTGTCAGATCTCTACTTTACCTTACTGCAAGCCGTCCGGATATCTCATATGCAGTAGGTGTTTGTGCCAGATTCCAGTCAAAGCCAAAGGAAAGTCATTTGATAGCAGCTAAGAGAATTCTTAGATACCTCAAAGGAACTCAGAACATGGGTTTGTGGTATGCTAAAAGCAATTCATTTGAGTTAGTGGGATACTCAGATTCTGACTTTGCCGGATGCAAAGTTGACCGGAAAAGTACATCTGGTAC